CTTTAAACTTAGCCTCCAGCAGGGCTTTCTCCAACTTGTCCACAGTCAGCTGGAATGGCTGGGTGTCCGCCTCAGTGATCTGGAACACAAACCCTGCCTGAGAAGCGCCCATCTGACTGCTTCTAAGCTTTGATCACTCATTCCCATAAACCGTGAACAATCCTTGGCCTTCATACCCAGGGTACCAGTCCCACGGGCCCTCTTTGCTCTGATTTCCTATCCTTGCCCAACATCACTTATATGAGAGGAAAGCAAGCCTCCCCACCCCACCCTATGTCTTCAATTGCCTTCCAGAACACTTAGTCGGTGTTCTGTCTGCAGGACATACTGGCCTTCAGAGAGGGCCTCCAGTCACGTGCTGAGTTCAAGTATACTGCCGCTTCATGTGTCTTCTTTAGAGAAGTTGGTGTTGAAGTCTGACCTCACTGTCCAGGTGGACACAAATCAGCTCAACATTCACATATAGGCTGGAAGTAAACGTGAAGCCAGAATAGAAGGGGGTGACGATCAGAAAGGCATCTGGAAGCACAGGGAGATAAGGCTGTCAGTCCAGGGTCTCTCGTTCAGAACCTACCACACAGCACCTGACCCCGAGACCGGCAGCAACTCTGCCAACAGGGTAGCTTACTTGGCCAATCCCTCCTACTTGAGGATTAATGCTTTGGGGCTCAGGCTTTGTAAAAGGTAGCTATTCCTATAAACAATATTTGGGGAACAAAACTCTAATGTAGTCCTTGGGGCTACACTAGAGAAGTAGACAAAGAAAGAACCCTGTTCTGAATGGCTCAGAAACCGGGGCACAAATCAAGCCAGCCCTCCTCGCGGGGTGAGCACTGGGCACTCACAAATTCTGGTCAGCTCCACAGCAAACACCGGAGGCTGCTTCTCCACATGACTCAGGTTATCTGCAACTAGTGGCCTCATGCATGCTTCTCCTCCCATCATGTGGCCTTTTTGATGAACTAACCAAAGACCTACTGACTTGAATGAAACTGGCCACCTTGGTAACTACTTTCCATGCAGCCAACGCTCATTAAAGTCTGAGACTCTTGCTTGGACATTGTTAAGAGGGACATTGAGAACAGATCTCTCAGCCTTACTTGATCTAGAATTAATTAGACATTATTTTTAGGAGGAGGTGATAGAAATTCTATACAGTTTAAGCCAGTTTACCAGGGCTCTCTGTGTTGGAGTTGAGCCCCAAGTCCCAGCTAATATTATAATGGATTGGCTCCCGCCATCACCATCCCTAGGGCATACCTCCTTGAGGACTCTCCCATGATTTCCTTCCTCATTAAGTGGGGATCCAAACCCCTCACTCCTACAGAAATAGTAGGAAGATGTTCTAACCAGTGTAGGAGAGTCCTAGCACATTAGGGGAAGGGCCTGAGTCAAGATGTTTTTCTTCTCTGAGGCCCCTGAGGGAAAGCAGAGTCCATTGACTTACCGCCTGGATTACATAGCACGAAGGTCAATGCAGAGAAGATAGCACAGCAGCCACTTAGAACAGCCACCTGAAGAAGATGCACAGAAAGTACAAGTCAATCCCCATGTATGAAGGGCTAGTATCCATTGGCTTTTACTTTGTCTTGACCCTGATGGGTCTCTGCTGGTTCTCCCTGTACCCTCTGGAAAATGCAGAGTCCCTCAAGAATACAGCCCTCCACTAGGACAGCAGTGAGGCTGGGAAACCGACTCACATTTTCGGGATCAAGCTGCTTAGATGCCTTGCAGTAGTAGGTCAGGAACCGGGCTACTTCTTCCCTCAGGCTACGGAGAAACCCAGAGAGATCTTGTGGTTCCCAGGTCTAGACTGCAGTCTTTTCCAAAGGGCAGAGTCCAAATATGCTATAGGGATTCTGACAGAGGCTATCAGTTCCCTGGGTTACAGATGGTAAATCTCGCCTGGATCTCAAGCCTTTGGAATTAATCAGCAATGCCATTTGTATTACAGCAGGCTACCTCTGAATGTGGAACTCTAGGCATGTTCTAGAAGTTGTTTACCAAAGAAACGGAGGTAGCCAACCAAGAATCTGATACTTTGAGCCCTTCCCTGCATGGTGCCTGTGGATCAGGAGGCCATAGATCTGGAAGTTACTTACAATGCATGTCCACTCCAATCAGGATATTGCAGAAGGTCATCATCAATGTAGTTCATGTCACTCCCACTCAACTGTTGACAAATAAAGCATGAGGGCAGCCAGACCAGGGAAGTCCCACAGTCTTCATCCTACTCCTAGGATGCAGGTGGGCATTTGCCCTACAACACAGGGTCCTCCCAGAGGGCAATGGGGACGCATGCTGCATGCTCCTCAAGGAAGAGAGGCCCTGATCTTCTTATCAGATCACACAAATGAATAACTTACTAAGAACTGCTGAATTAACAACCTCCCCAACTGTACACTTGGGCCAGAGGCTCCCTTGTCTGTCTACCCAAAATATACCCATCCAAAGAATACCTCTGAACAGTCAGAAAATCCAGGAGATGACACATGCTATTCTAGAAGCCGTTTCCCCACTCCCTTTCCCAGTCGCCTAAGTCCCACTCCTGTAGCAACCACACGCTGGGGGACTGGGCCGGAACATGGGCCCAGCAAGCCCGGAACATGGCTCACCCTTTCAGTCAGCAGATCAATGCAGAGCTTGTTCTCACTGAGGCCAAGATTAATGAAGCCCTGCAGATGGAAGGAATCTGAGATCAGTCCTCCTGCCCAGCCTAGAGGAACCCTTTAAACATGTCAAAAAGTACTCTTCCCGGATGATTTCCAAAGGGGAGAGCTCACTGTCCCATGAGGCAATTCACAGCCCCAAAATCATACAGCTTGCAATATCCCCCTTTAGAGCCATAGAGATAGTTGCATACCAGTGACCAGTCACTTGGTTCTTGCAGAGAGAACATGGGGAACCCTTCACCTTTCTTAGGCATGTCACTATTTGTGCCCATTCCCTTATCTATAAGGATCAATACCATCTACTGTATAGGGCCAGGAAGAGTAAGCAAGAGAGCACAGTGCTTGGCACAGGACTCAGTAAATCCTAGTGACGTTGACTCTCTAGTTTACCCATGCCATATGACCTTGGTGATGGACAGACTCTAACTGCCTGCCCAGAGCCTGGATCCATAAGTACCACATACTCATCTCTTGTTATTCCCATTTCCATGTGCAGGCCTTTCAAGTTATTAGAGGAGCTACAGTTCCTCAGAGTCCAAGGAGGTACCTGACTCACTTGGCCCCCAGAAAAGCACATGGCCACTGAGCACATGTCACTCAGCTAGAAGCAGAGAGATGATATACTCGTGCTGTCCTCTACTCTCTGGCTGGAGAGCTGTTGTGAACATCCCTTGCTGGAAGCCTTTCATTGACCCCCTGTCACCCTTAGGATAATATCCTACCCCTGTCCTACCCCTGTCCACACTTCTTGTCACAGCCCTCATTGCCCCTACTCTATCCACATGGGCCTCCTTTTCCATTCACTCCAAGTCCTTCCCACCTAAAGCTTCACACATGTTGTTGTTCCCCCCCAAGAGGACCTCCTATCCCACCACCACCTTTAAGACAAAGCTGGCATCCCCTCAGTGCTCTCAGCAACATTATTGTTTCTTTCCCAATGGCTGATGACTATCATCTCTAGAATGAGCTCCATGAGGGCTGGTTCACTTACACCTATGACCACAGTGACTCCTGGAGGGTAAGAGCAGGGGTTAGGAAAGAAACCAGAGGGGAAGAAGGGAATCCAATCTCAGCCCTTCACCTTTCTTGGGCATGTCGCTCTATTTTGTGCGCATTCCCTTATCTATAAGGAGAAAATACCACCTGCTTCATAAGCCCGGGAAGAGTAAGCGAGAGAGCACAGTACTTGGCACAGGACTCAGTAAATCCTAGTGACTGGGCCTCTCTAGTGTGCCCTTCCCACCATCCACATCCTCACCAAGGTGTTCTTGTCCTCATGGTATTTGTCTCCTTGGTAGGCTATAAAGTCCTTGAATTTGGACTTGTATGAGGCAGAGATGTCAATCCCACGGTTGGATAGGTCACAGCTGACAACTGCAGCTTTTGAATCACTCAGCTGGTGACTTAGCGTGTCAGGCTTCCTGGGCAACTGGGCCTGCTGCCCACCTCCACCCCTTGAGTCCAGGGAAAGGCGAGGCAGTTGGAGCTCCAGGCTACTTGTGGCACCAGCCTGTAACAGGTTGGCCACCTCACCAAGTAATTGGACGAGGATGGCTTCCTGCTCCCTGGTGTCCTCACTGTGCTGTTGCTTCTCCTGCTCCAGGTCATCCTGTAGGTGCCTGATCTTCAGCTGCCTGGAATACTCATCTATGAGCTGTTGCAGGCGCAGGATCAGCTCCATCACTGGGGGGTGGGGCTTCTGGGTTTGGAGGCCCTGGTCCTTCATTTGGCCACAGGGCTTGTGAAGGCTGTCAGATTGGTGACTCATAGTCGGGGTCTTGGTTGTGGTCTCAACAAGCTTTCCTGAACCTGCAGAGAAAGAGAGAGACCATGTACTGCAGTAACATAGACTTCCCCTGGCCTCTGTGTCCTCCCTCATACACACTAGGTTATAGAACTGAAGTGGTTCTGAAAGAGTTACCTACTCATTCAAGGGCAATGCCTAAGTGGCCCCAGCCCGGACCCTTGAGCAATGTGTTTCTGGCATCAAGCCCTGATCATCAAAGCCCTCAAATTACCACCACAAGATAAAAAGAAGCAAAAACAACAACAAGAACAACAAAAACACATTAAGCCCAGTGGAATTATCACTTTTAATGAGATTGTTAACATTGTCCGACAGATGTGGCACTGATCTTCAGCTAGAGAACTCTCTGGTACTATTAATGAGATCCTGGGACTGCCTAGTCCAGCAGTGGGCAAACTACAGCCCGCGGGCTGGATCCAGCCCGTTTGAAATGAATAAAACTAAAAAAAAAAAAAAAAGACCGTACCCTTTTATGTAATGATGTTTACTTGGAATTTATATTAGTTCGCACAAACACTCCATCTGTGCTTTTGTTCCGGCCGTCCGGTCCAGTTTAAGAACCCATTGTGGCCCTCGAGTCAAAAAGTTTGCCCACCCCTGGCCTAGTCTGTGGGCTGCAATGCTGATGGCCAACACCTTGGTGACATCATAGATGACATCAGCAGTGGTGCAGTGGAATGCCCAGCTAGTTAAGAACTACAAAGGAAAATGTTTCAATTAAAGATCATTTGACAACCAAAAATATATATTTTTTTTATTTCTGAGGGAAAAAGAATCTTGGGGCTCACTTTGAGGAAAAGTGGAAACAACAGACAGGCGCTGAGTTCTCCACTCTGTGCTTCAACTAGAGCAATTCCCCCTTCATAGTGTTCTAAGAAAGGAGAGGGATGCTGCTGCTATAAGAAAGGAGAAGGAAGGGAGGGAGGAAGGGGGGAGGGAGGGAGGAAGGAAAAAAACCTTGTCACTTCTGTTATTGGTTTGTGGCACCAACACTTCAAAGTACTGGACACCATGCCCAACTTCTCCAAACTATGTTTGGTCAGCTTGTGATGTTCCCATAGCAACCTATACTTCAAAGTGACAATACTATTACTGGTTCAGTGTCTGTATATATCGTTATTTCCTTAGCACAGTGCCTGGCATGTGGGTAACTAGTTGTTAAAAGCGGTTAGAAAAAGGACTTCTACAGACAGGTTTATGGAGCGGAAAATGGGGGTGAGGTCAAGTAACCAAAAGAAGAATGTTTTCCTGGTAAAATGTATTTTCTGATACAAGGAAACTGAGCACGCAGAGGCCAGAAGGAAACCTGGCAGGTGGGCCTCTGCCAAGACCAGTCCTTCCTATTAAAAAAAAAAAAAGTCTATTGTGAATGATGCTTTCCATAAAGGCAATAATGTCCCTAAACTGTCTAGTGTTGAGGTATACCAACCTCTCCTCAAGTCTTTTGCCTATACCTGTGGTTTCAGTATTTCTCAGCTTCCAACCATCTATACCTCTCAAGCCGCATGCAGGGGTCTTCTACAGCAGCTACAGCAGTGTCTCAGAACCAGCACAGCTGGTGCCAACAGCCCTCTGATAAGAGCTGAAGGACACACAAACAGGAGAAGCCAAGAAGGGGACATGGGCATGGGAAATGAACCAGCAACAAGCCGGTCTCGTGATCATTCATCTCTAGCATATGGCTACACTCTTCAGACCCAGGGCTGTTTGAATGTCACTTTTCCTAGTGCCCTACAAACCCTCTCCCTCTGCCTTGCCCTCCAGCCTTCCTTCCCCTTGCTCAGAGCCTCCCCTGGTGTCTCAGTATCCTAACCTAAGTCGATTCTTTCTTCTTAGTGTGGCAGTACGATAAGGATCACAGAGTTTTCTTAACATGCATGGGAAACAAGGTGTTTGGGGGTATGGATCCCTAAGTACTAGTGGCAAAATTGAAAGCTCAGGCCAAAGCAGCCTGGAGAAGCCTAGATTCTATTCTATAGTAACTATTCACCTATTGTCCAAAGTCAGAAGAACTATTTCCCCTGTCCTCGCATCAGTTTTTCCATATGTAGATGAGGAGATACTTGCCTCAAGTCAAGGTAATAAAATGGAAGCTCAATGAAGACAAGTAACTTCTATGGTTCCCCAGTAGAGCCAGGATTTAAGCCTTAGACCTCCACGTTAACCCAGAACTCTCAGACAGAGGAGAGAACCAGCAGACAACCAGCCCTTGCATGGACCGTTCCCTTCACCTCACATTCCCCCAGAGATTTCAGGTTCTAAAGTTGGACTACTATGTCCAACAATATTGTCATCTGGTCCTGTGGGTGACTTGGAGTTCTTGGACAGAGCAAACAAATTTCTGGAAGTGGTTTCCTTAGTCCTCAAATTTCTCAGAGGCTCATTTTTGAAATACAGTGTCCAGCACACAGAATATCCAGCCACACGAACAAACAGCATGAGCTAAAACCAGCACAGACAACAGAAAGACCAACTGGTCTCCAGCTGCCAGGAATAGATGTAAGATCATTGCCTTCCCGTTGATGGGAAGGGATCCATGAGTGGGCAGTGAGGTCTGGGTCCCCTTCTGGACCACAGCTTCTCAGCTTCTGCCATCATTCCATGTCACAGAGGGGGTTCCTGGTGAGGGTTTGTTGATGGTTATTGGTCACTAACCAATGAGTGACTGAAGACAGGAATGGAGGAATTGATCAGTTTTTGGCCCCAGGTAAATGCTCACAGTGGAATGATTTGCCTAGACTCTAGGGCCTAGAGGAAAACCCTTATGTCCCTCAACCCCCTGCATTTCCCACCACTCCCTTAGCTGATGCTGTCTCCTAGTAGTGGGCCCTCCTCCCAGCACAGCGCTGTCCCATGGATTTGCCAAAAGGGGTCGCTGAATCCTAACTTTCCTTCCTGGCTCAGGAAACTCAGGGCAGCTACAGCTCAGGACTCAGAAGCCAGGGTGAGAGTGGAAGGGAAGGCCTGGGAAGGCCCAGAACCCTCCTAGAGCCGCCAGTGTGTCTTCTGCAAGTACCATGTCCAATAAAGTACTGGGCACCTGGCTGGGCTCAGGCAATACAATCCTGTTCTAACTCAAATCAACCCCTGTAATCTGAGGGCCTCTAGGATATTGGTCTTCCAGGCAGGACCCAGGCTCAGTGGCCGCACAACTAGAAATCATCAGTGGAAGGATTAGGTTCCAGATTTGGCAAATACTTGTTCCCTCCTCCACTCCCCTTCCAGCCCAGTTCCTTTTGGCTTCTCTGTTCCAACGGCAAAGCAAGATTCCAAGTCTGGCATCTGCCTTGGTCTAACTCAGAAGGCCTTGGTTCTCTTTGCTGGTGGGAAGGCGGGGGAAGCAGAGTTCCTCCTCAAGAACATTGCCTGTCTGCCCTCGGCTCCCCATCCCCTGGCTTGCATCATGCTTGTCCCGTTGATTACTGTCCCTGGGTTTTTAAGTAGTCAGTTGTCCACAGGCCAATTCACTTCGGAGGGAGGAGCCTGGCAGACACAGGCGTGAGGGTAAAAGGGGGAAGGTTCAGCAAATGGTCCTCTGACCCAGCTCAGAGATAGACAGCAATGCAACTGAGTTTCTGAGGGGCCTACCTGAGAGGACCCTACCTGAGTGCACTTTGTGTGGCCAGAACCTCGAAGTCCAATGATGGGGCTTTCTTTGCTGATGTGGGTCCTGAGTTCCACGTACTGGGACTCCCAACAATGCAGGGAGGAGAATGACCTTGGTATCACTGATATGGACGTCAATCATTAAGAACCTGTTTTGAGGCCCTGTGGATGGACCTCTCATCCCAGCTCTAATTTTATCTGTATGTGTGTTTGGTGTAAAAGGGATGAGAAGGTCCATGGCTTTCATCAGACTCCCCCAGAGACCCAGAGTCATTCTAAGGCAGGGGGTTCTTCTAGGGAAAGCTCAATTAGAGCCCACCACCCGGGGTGCTCCCTGCCTCCTTTTCTCTCCCATCCCTCCCCCCACCCTTTCCCCAGGGCCTTCCTGCTTCTTCTGCCCCAGAGGAGTTGGCTCCAACCACCCTGTCCTCCCACCCAGGACTCAGTAGAGTGCTTAGGACAGGAAGAAAGGGGTTTTGTTTCATTTCCACAGACACTATCTCTGCTTGTCACCCATACTTCAGAGCCCAGGAGCCCCTTCAAGAGCCCTGGTCCTGGGATAAAGGCCAGGCGACCTGGGCCTGGGTGTGCTGGGGAGAACGTGCAGGAGACGGCAGCAGAGGGTGCCTGGGGCCTGGCTCCCTGAGGACAGCACTGTCTGGCTTTGGTGGGCACTGAGCTCGTCTGATGGCGATGGTCCCGAGAAGTCTCTCTTTCTGTGTGGGGTGTGGGGTGGGCAGTGTGCTCTGTATGGAGCTGTTGTCAAGTACCTGAGGTTCAAGGCACAGTTTAAGGCCCATCTCAGCCACTTACAAACCGTGTGGCTGTAGGTTATTAGGTATCTCTGGGATCAATGTCTCATGTGTGAAGAGACACGAGGGAACAGGGGTTCAGAGGATTAATGTGAAATAACAGATATAAATGTGAGCCTCTCTTTCCAGATTCTTTCCAGCCATCCGCCAAACCACTCCTTCAGCTGATCATTAAAATACTCATTCTTTCAATCCATTTTCATTGAGCCTTCCCGCCCCCCTCCCCCACTGTGCTCGCGGGTCTCCTGGGGCTGTGGCCATTTCAGGGAATATTCTGGAAGGTGCTGACTTCTCTCACCCGTTCCCAGGAGACTTAGATGATGACGAGTTGAGAGTTTCCACCGGACTACTTCTTCCAGTCGCACCACATTGACCACTTCCTCCCACTGGGAAATCTCCTGACGGGAAATCTCCTCCTTGTCCCCAAGAGCCCTGCTCTGACTTCCTCGCTTCTGCTGACCTGGGTCTTCCCTCAAAACCAGATTCTGTGGAGCTGGTCTC